GCTGCGGGCAGCCCTGTGTCGGCTGCGGCGCCGGCTGCCGGCAGCGCTGTCTCGGCTGCAGCGCCGGCTGCGGGCAGCCCTATGTCGGCTGCGGCGCCGGCTGGGGGCAGCGCTGTCTCGGCTGCAGCGCCGGCTGCCGGCAGCGCTGTGTCGGCTGCGGCGCCGGCGTGCGGCAGCGCTGTATCGGCTGCGGCGCCGGCGTGCGGCGGCGCTGCATCGGCTGCGGCGCCGGCTGCGGGCAGCCCTGTGTCGGCTGCGGCGCTGGCGGCCGGCAGCGCTGCGTCGCCTGCGGCACCGGCTGCTGATAGCGCTGTCTCGGCTGCGGCACCGACTCGCGCTGCAGAGCGTGATACACAGCCCGCGCTGGTGAAACAAACACGGCGCGCGGTGGGACGGAGCCGCCGTTGGAACGGGTGTCAGCTGCAGCAGACGCCGCTAACGGCTGCACGGCCTCTGAGGACGGGAAGTCTCACAGTGGTGTGATGTGGGTGGATGGGAGCTTTCAGAACGGTGTACGCTTCTTAAGGAGCCGTGTATGCACATGACACTGCCGAACTCGCAACTTAATGAATGCGTATACATTCGAAGCTTATCCAGCGTATTAAATCGAAAAGATGTCTCCCTTGAGATAGTTATAGGACGGTGCGCTTACCACATAATAGATAGCTGTTCAGTACCTAAACGCCTGTTCTAACAGTTTTTTCAGCACGTCTGACGCGCGTTGAAAGCGAGTGACGCAGGAGATAAAGCGTGTGTGCTAAAACCCACACTTTATTATATTTAAAACAACACAGGTCCGAGTGTGCTAAAATTTAGATATCCAAGGCGGATTCTTTTTCGCGACGTAAGCCACACCATAGGCTTAAATGTCTGCTCAAATTGGATTGAATGCTCAAGCATATCGAAACGCTGCAATCATCGAGCCACCGCTAGTCGTCCGCAGGTATGACAAAGAAAAACTTCATGAAATGGAAACATATTAAGTAAATAAATTTCAGATCATATTCCTTGGACTTCTCCTCCCGTTAAAGGCAATGTTCCATATTTGTATGGGGTTTTGGACTAAGGTAGAAATCTTGGAGATCATTCGGTGCACTTCACAGCCCTACCCTCCTTGAAGAGAGTGTTCTGCATTTGTATTGGGTTATGAACTGGAATAGCCATCTTGAGGATTCTAAGCCCTTCTAGTTTATGAGCTTCATGTCCTTAAAATGGGTAAAGGTCTATCGAGGAGAGTATTTCAAAGTCACCTTGGCATTCATGATATAATAAAACTCTATTCAAACACTGTCATTCCATAAGCGACGCAGCGATCAAGGCCAAGCAAAGCATAATTGTCGAGGCATTCATATCTGGTGTTCGTGAGCGTGATTTCCGGATATAACGTCTGTCAATTGGCTTCCAATCATTGTTGCGCAAAATACATCGGCCTGATAAAACCATGAGGCATTGAAGAGCATATTTAATAAAGTGAGAAGTATGCTTTCTAGAGCAGTTTTGTCCACTTGAAAAGTATGCCAAAAGTTATTGGGGTGCTTGTTTCATCATGTCTGATGCTTGCTTCAATATCTTCAAATGCAAAACAGTCCCTTTACGACTCAACATCCTCACACTAACGCCCGCCAAGATATGCGGCCCCAAATGTCCAACCTGTCCCCCCCCCCCGCCCCGTCGAGGAGTTTGGCCTCCAACTTTTGGAGCCCAAGTACAAGTAGGTCATTACAAATAGTAGCTCGAAATTACATCAAATTTACAGAAGACTTGTGCTGACTGCTTTACATGTAAAGGGACTAAAGGCACTGAAAACTGCGATGTCATGCCCAGTTTAGTGCACCTGGCTGAGGTAGTCACACCTTTAAAGCTCTGTGTTCTGTTACCTGAGCTTTGATTCTCTGTTTTTCCTGCATGCTGCATGTTTTTAACTACACGATAAATATCTATTGCTGCCGCTGGTCTATCCTTGCGATATTGTGAAAGGGTTTTGGCGTTATTCGGCGATGCTTTAAGTTACATAGACGGAAGCAAGTTGCAATATTTTGTCACGATGTCTCATTGGAAAATGAAAACCAACCGGAGAAACATTTACTCCCGAAAATGTGACCAAGTTATTAGCCGTCTACACTCAGAAGAACCCATGAAATGTGTGGACTTCCACTTCGACGTGAATATTCGTTTAAACGGTCGCAACAACCAAACGGTTGACACTAGCCGACTTAACCAATAGTGGTTACATAGTAGTCCGACCATGACCACCGGGACTAGCCGTGTCGAACATCCTTGACGCGAGCACTGCGTTGCAGCCTGCATCCCGCCTCGCGGCAACCAGCCGGGATTTCCGTGACAAACACTAAAGGGAGTATCCAACCTTTTTGTACTTTTTTACGGCATCATCAGCGCGTGCGATTCGATCAGTAATATCAGTGTTTTCGAAATCCTTCTGAACAGCGCATAACCTGAATGCGATTGAACACGATTGAATATAGCATACGATTTGAAGTAGCCGACCCTGCGGCAGATTTTTTTTACTATCTGTTCGACACTACGGAAGTAGCACATCCACTTCGCCTTCCCTTTCCAACATGTGTGTTCTGCAATGTTTGCAGCTCACCGATGTGTCAAAATATTTGTGTAATGCGTGCTATGAAAGCTTGCAACATTCTGACCGGACCAAAAACATCCGATCATGAAGCCCTCATTCCACAAATTCTACGAAACGCTATCTATGGCTTTGATATCTCCTGCAAGACATTTATGACAGCGCTTTTTTCGAGGCGCATTTTGACTTTGGGACTGGGAGCGTCATATGATCTACGTGACACACTATTTCAAACTTCAACCAATGGTCTCCTCGGTTAGCAATGTGAACGCTGTGACAGGTCCTTGCCCACTGGGCCAATCGCAAACGTTCGTTTATTCGTGCCAGTAAAGGTGTGCACGGCAGTTCCTATTACGATCGATGGTCGTGACTGCAGGGAAGTGTGGTGCTGTTACAAAGCGTTGACAGCGAAATTTGGACTCAAAACAATCAAAATTGATACCGTGATTACGTCTTGACGGTGATGCAGTGGCAGCACCCAGTGGTATTATTAGACGTAACTTTTCCTGATGTCACATAGTATACTTTTGAAATATGCCTCAAAGATGGGACACTTCCTTTAGTACCCACACAAATCAACTGACACTTCTTGCCGACGTGTTATTGGTATACTTTGAAAAGGAAATACTGCTCCAGATAACAAAATTCCTCTGTGTAGCAAATATGCTCATGCTCTTGCCCATTTATCCTTGAGTTTACTTGTTTGTTCACTTGCATGCACACCGTCAGCTATGAGTTATTCTTCAGTCATTCGATAGCAAGCCTGATTTATCCGCATCCATATTTCTACGCATCCCAGGGGATCCCCGTAGACGTCCAGTAGGTGCGTGTAGATGTCCTCTGTGTTTGGAAATCGAGCTCACGGATGACGGATCTGAACGGCTGAACGATGATATTCATTCTGGCCTTGCACGCTGCCGGGCCTACGGGGTGACAGGGTTTGCATGGCGTTGCTATGACGTCATTTATGCCTAAATAACCTTGAAAAAGTCTACACAACTTCGCGTGCGTGTAACTCACTAACTAGAGGAATTTAGGTCTTAAGAAACGCTGGGCCGTGAGCCGCACTGAATTATCTCCAGAATGGCTACTTCATTTCAAAACCTTGTACAAATGTGAAACACTCTCTTTCAGACTGCCCGGCATCATGGGACAGAGGGTGGAAGAAAGAGCAAACACTGTGCGCAGAGATCACTATAAAACATTGACTTGCCCAGCAGAAGTATGACGTAGGCGGATGAACGGCGTACAACCTGGGACTGTGCATGTGCGTCTGACCGAAATACGCCTAGTTGGGCGGCCTCGAGACGTTGAAAGGCAACTTTTATGACGCTAGAACAAAAACTGCGACAAACGCCTTCATAGATGTACGCTGCCCTGGTACATTACTCAGCGAAGCGTGTTTGATGGCTGAAAATAGCAGCCCAAGCGACTCAGTTGTTAACTGCTGATGGATGAAACTGGTGATGCAAGTAAAACACTTCTGCAGTTCTGCTGAGTCTTCCTCGGGGTAAAAACAGCTTCGGCGTTGCAAAGACTCAACGTAGCGCTCCGCTGCGGCCAGTGCAGTGATGAGTCACCGCCTGTATGACTCGCCGACGTCATTAGTCGTTGGGATGTTCGGGTCATTTGAGTAAGCACTTGCCTTCTCTCCAGCTCGCCCCGTGCCATGTATGCATACACCGGCTCTGTTAGCATGCAGCCGTGTACATCGTGATCTCTGTCAAAACACAGGGCTTCAGGACGTCCTGCCGCGCCTCACTCTGAACGGCCCTGCCCCCTGTCAGCAGCCTGTCACACCGCCTGTCACCGGCACGGGTGTGTGCATTTCGGCTGGGAGCCACACATTGTCGCTGGCCAGAACTGACAATTATTCCCGATGCTTATGTTTCATGTCAGCTGTTTACTGGGAAAGACCCTGTTGCATAACCTCTGTACGCTCCATTAATGAGCCTGCATACTACATGTATGCACGTGGTACTTACCGTCAAATGTATGTGCATTGTTGGCCATACGACCAGCGATGTTCGGCATAATTCGTGATGTCATCTTCACCAGCCGCATAAAAATATTGTTCCTCGCGCAGGGATGAGTGCGGAAGCTTGCACAGCAGCGCTTTGTGTCGTGATCCGACCTTCCTGTGCTCGAAACCCGCTCACTGCATATTTCACCATTCGGCTACCGTGACCGGCATGCCATCCCGCCACCACGCTAGCCTCAATCACAAGAGCCCGGACCCCAAAGTTTGCCCTCTTATAGCATGACCTCTCCCCAAGCCAGTTGTTGTTATACCTGTTGCCGATAATGATCATATGCATAAGCATAAGTGATAACCACCGCCGCGTCACCCACGCGCTCGTGGCCGCTGACTTGCCCGCTGACCCGTGCCGCGCCCGCCCGGCAGTGCCGGCGCCACACTGGAACGGCTCGGCGGGGGGTGAGCCTGCGCCGCCGCCGCGGCCTGGCGACCGTGTGGCGGTCAGCAGCAGCACCGGCCGCCGCACTGGCACCGTCTGCTATGTGGGCCGCACCGAGTTCGCCGACGGCGTCTGGGTCGGCATGACGCTGGACGAGGCGCGCGGACGCAACGACGGCAGCGTGGCCGGCAAACGGTGCGCAGCGGGGTCCCGCTGAGCGGCTGGGGCCGATCCAGGGCGCTGATACAGCTGAGGCTGTTGGTACCCAGCCAGGGCCACCGAACCCAGCCAAGGGATGCCCAGGCCCAGCCTGGTGCGCCGGGGTCCGGCTGAGCGGCTGGGGCCGATCCAGGGCGCCGATACAGCTGGGCCTGTTGGTACCCAGCCAGGGCCACCGAACCCAGCCAAGGGATGCCCAGGCCCAGCCTGGTGCGCCGGGGTCCGGCTGAGCGGCTGGGGCCGATCCAGGGCGCCGATACAGCTGGGCCTGTTGGTACCCAGCCAGGGCCACCGAACCCAGCCAAGGGATGCCCAGGCCCAGCCTGGTGCGCCGAGGTCCGGCTTGGGGTGCTGGAGCCCGGCCAGGGGCGCCGATACCTGGCCAGGGGTGGAAGGGTGAGCCCCACTCCACGGGACCGGCTGACACATGGATGGCGGTGGGCGTCTGATGAGCAGGATGCTTGACTTTAGGGGAAGACCGTAATAGCAGAATGCTATCATACTGAGCATTACAGCACGAAGTCACCGGACATTGCCGTAATGCATCACCGTGTTGTTTCAGCCTGTATCGATTAACAGTCTGTTCCATGCCGCCAAGGATCACGCCATTCGGACGTCGCAGTTTTGGTGGCTTCGCCCCGCTCACACCAGCGCCGGGGTCACACGCCTTGGTGTCGGGGTCACGCCGCTCCGCTCACCTCTCCCAGGTACTTCGACTGCCGCCCCAACCACGGCCTGTTTGCCCCGCTTCACCGAGTGACAGTCGTGCAGCGGCGACCGTCGAGCGAGCTGGACCGGCGCCGGTCCCAGGCCGAATTCCGGCGGGACCTGCACGTCGCCGACGAGGACGGCTACTACTGAAGCCCTCGGACGGACGGCGCTGCCACCGGGCGACCCGAGACGGGTCGGCCGAGGCGGCTGCCCACGGAAGCCGTCGCTCTCTACACGGTCGAGCGGCTCCTGCCACTAAGGCCACGTGACGCCGCCCCTGACATTGCCCGAGGTCACATAACGCCGCTCCTTTACACCGCCTGAAATCACATGATGCCGCCCCTTGACACTCCCCGAGGTCACGGGAAGCCGCCCCTGACACAAAGGGCGCTCGTCCTACCCCTGCTCCGGCCGGCCGCTGCCACCGACGGACAGAGCGGGGGAAGGGTGAGAGTGGCCGGGGTCCGCGAAGTCGGCTCTCTGGTGTCACCCCGGACCACCCTGCAATGAGGTCAACAGTGCTTCAGATGTATTGGCGACCACTTGGATCGGAGAGGTCCGGTGAAGCCATCGACGCCGGCCGATGATTGAATGGCTGTCTGGGGGGACTGCCGCCGATGATTGCCACGACGGGCTGCCGCACAGGGGGGCGGGGGGGGCCTCATGACGTCATCGCGGCCGGACCAGGGAGGGGGGGGGGCGTGCGGTCAGCGGTTGCCGTCATCCGTTGATGCCTAGTTTCACGCTTCGTGCACAGCGCAATACTGTTCGGGCATAACTCGTGCTTACAGTGAAGCTAAAAGGCCCAGCTCTACAAATAATGTTTAATTACCCATTTTTTCCTTTTTGCTCAGAGCAGCTGTTAAGTGTAATCGAATTTATGAATGTTAGTGCGATTGCCAGTGTGATTTCTCCAGTAATTCAGCCACATTTCGAAACGAGCAGGCTGCGCACGATATCCTAGTACTTCTCAGCTCTTCGTCCTAGCTCCGTTCCAGAGCTAGGACGGCGCGCCTCACTGCGTGCAACCACTGAACAACATTCGCCAAAAAGCGTGACGGCTCCCCCCCCCGCCATATATTCTCCATCGCGAGCAATTTATTTTCTGGTGGCTCCCTGCCAAAGCCTGTTGTCTCGCCTGGCGCGCGCGTTGGCCGTCGCCGCCTGGGGTGGCCATGAGTGGACGCGTCACGGCCAGCGGCGGCCGTGTGGACGGCCCGCCGTGTGCAGCACGTCGGGCCATTTGTGAAAATGGCGCTACGCGGCACGCGTTGCTGGAGTAACATGAGTACGGATGAGACATGAGCTCTGATATGAATGACTGTTCCGTCGCCAAGTGCTGTGTCGTGCGGTAGCGATCAAATGTGCAGCAGTGACAAACTGTCGTTAGGTTCGCGTGTTCGTTCCTCTAATTGTCGTCAGGTTCGTGTGTTCGTTCCTCTCATGGCTTCGGCATTATTCGCCCGCGCTACCTGTCGAATGTTGTAACATTACCGCAATGAGGACATTGTGTCTGTCTGAATGGAGGCTAACATGGCAGCTACCATAACTTACGAATTACGAAGCTCAAATATTGGCGCGAGCAATGGCAAGCAAGCGTGGGGACTTTGCTTCCCCATTGCGATCGATGCGTTTTATCATAAGTATTTAGCTACGTTAGCGGCGTCGTGAATATATATATATATATATATATATATATATATATATATGCGTAACACTTGTAAGTTATGACGAGTCCTGGCAATTAGAAATACAATAATTGTTAGCTAACATTCCTGGGTTTAAATGTATCATTCCTCATATAAGAATAAACTGGCAAACTTATATGCCCCGGCAAACCCCAAACCCCATACAAACAAGAGTACACAATATTTAAACCGAGGAAATGAGTGAAAACAATGCCATGGTTTTTTGGACACAGAGGCACAATGCCACACATGCAGACATATGGACAGCGGACGGCATTCACGGCAGTCTGCGGCCGTCACAGGCCGCTGGAGCCGTGGACACCTGACCCGCTCACCGCTCGGCAGTGCTGACCGCGGCCGTCACAGGCCGCTGGAGCCGTGGACACCTGACCCGCTCACCGCTCGGCAGTGCTGACCGCGGCCGTCACAGGCCGCTGGGGCCGTGGACACCTGACCCGCTCACCGCTCGGCAGTGCTGACCGCGGCCGTCACAGGCCGCTGGGGCCGTGGACACCTGACCCGCTCACCGCTCGGCAATGCTGACCGCGGCCGTCACAGGCCGCTGGGGCCGTGGACACCTGACCCGCTCACCGCTCGGCAGTGCTGACCGCGGCCGTCACAGGCCGCTGGGGCCGTGGACACCTGACCCGCTCACCGCTCGGCAGTGCTGACCGCGGCCGTCACAGGCCGCTGGGGCCGTGGACACCTGACCCGCTCACAGCTCGGCAGTGCTGACCGAGCCATCGCGCAGCGCCGCCTTATCGGAATGTGCCGACGCGGAGGATGCCAGCCAGGCAGCACAACGCAGGTAATAGTGGCTGACGGATGCTTGCCTTATGATGCTGACGATGATAACGACGATCATGACTGACGGATTGACAGTTAGCGCGGGCTGCGTCCACTCGTTCAGCAGCGGTAGGTACACGGTCAGACTCCTTCGGTACATGCAGACCCTGTTCAGGGCCGACGGGGCGACAGCTGACCACACTCAAGCCAACGGGACTTCATATATTTGTTGACATCTGCAGGGCCGCGCGGCACCTCTGGGCACGCACGCAGGCGCGCCGCGTCGGTGCCGGGCCTACAGCGCCCCAGCGGCAGGCTCGTCATCCAACTGGAGCTGTCTATCACGTGACGATCGATATCAAAGACCCACCACCGGCCGCCAGTGGCGCCGAGACGCCGCCAGTGCCCCGATACCCGGCTCGGGCCGGCGCCTCGGTCCACGCGCAGCTGGAAAGCACAGACAGTTGTCGAGAGGAAACGGAGCAACGCTGTCGGAATGTGAAATAAATATGCGTGGTTTGTGTGCTGCCGTGTAGAGGCGAGCACCAATGTTCGCAAAGACCTTCAGGCAACAGGGGGCAAATGCATAGCGACACAGTCACATGTTCCGGCTCGTTAGTCTAGCCACCAACGACTCCAGTTGTCACTATGTAACCAGGAATTGGCCTACCCTCATTACGTTCTAGCAACTTCATAGGTGCCTAAACAACGACGTGCGAGGACCAACAGCGCCCTACTATTGGTTTTGATTCGACATAGCGCTCCGCACATGGGACCCAAAGTTAAAACCTTGAACGGAATCACGTCCTCGTGAGCATACAGCTAATGAACGTCACGTCTCCCGCACGATCAGCGCTTGCTAGACACCGCGTTCTTAACCTACGACAACACGGCTTTAGCGACGCACTCGGCACTGGCTCCGCCCTCCCGACGGAAGGACCGCAGGTCACAAGCGCCTAGCAAACATCGCATCACTGCAACTGAGAGTCGCGCCGGCCCGACGGCGCTTACGAACAAATCAGCGGGCGGCTTGACAATCTGCCCCGAAGCTCCCGTCACCACGCCGCTCCTTCGCCGGCGCCGCGCGCCGCTCCCACCGGCCTGTTGCCCACTGACACCCCTGCGGCGGTGCCGGCCGCCACGCCAGCCGAGCTGCCCCGGAAGGCTCGCAGCCTCGCCGACGGTACCGCCCGGTGCGTCGAGCCTCGGACCCGGAGAGGGGCGCGGCGGCCCCGCCGGAGTACAGTGCCCGGTCGCCACACACTCGGTCGCGGAGCACCGAACAGGGAGCATGGGAGCACCGCTGGGAACCGCAGCGTTGCGGGAGCACCCCCCCCCCCCCCATTCCCTCCGCCGAGCGCCACGCAGAGAGCACGACCGCCATGGCCTCGGTCGGAGCGACCGCGCGGGCCATTCCAGTCCCCGGCACCGACCGCGCGGGCCATTCCAGTCCCCGCCACCGACCGCGCGGGCCATTCCAGTCCCCGCCGCCGACCGCGCGGGCCATTCCAGTCCCCGCCACCGACGTCGACGTCGGCGCCAGCGCCAGCGCCGTTTGCCCGCGTATCCGCACGCGGACGGCCAGCCCCGCGCGTGGGAACGCACGCTCAACGTAAAGCGGGGTGGCTCGCACCAGACAGTGCAGACCTGAGCTCCTGCGACGCGGGACATGTTGAGCTTCAGCCTTGGTGCGATCCCAGCTGGTCTGCGGACATTCGCGACCGGCCCGGGTCGGAGATGAAAGGAGGTCCTCCATTGCTGGCCGGGGCCGGTCCTCGCACCACGCGCCCTAGAAGGAACATCTACCCGCACACACTGGCCACTATAAAATCCTGGTGTCGGGGTTTACACGGACGTATTGCTGCAGCGCTCACGGCAGCCAAAGACGCGACTGCAGACACACGCTCGCTAAAACATCACACTCGAAACAGCGTGATCCGCCGGTGTTTTTCTTTTCTTTTCTTTTCGCTGACTTCAGACACAATTCGTACGCCACCTCACACCACCAAAAACGCCGAGACTACGCGTGGTCGCGTCCCATTTGCCCACAGCGCACCGGCGCCGGTCACGAGCCGGAACCGTCAGGCGGCGCGTCGGGCGTGCGGTGCGGCCGGCCCCCGGCGCCCGTCGCCACCGCAAGGCACAGTGTCACCCCGTCCGCTGGCGGCGCCGGCCGTCCGTCCGCGGCGAGCGCCCGTCACCGCCGACGCGCCCGCAGGCGAAGCTCGTCCGGCGCGTCCGGGGGTCGCCCCTCCTAAGAGTCTCTTCGTCGTAGAGAAGGCCACGGCGGCGGCGGCAGCGGCGGCGGCGGCGGTCGGACTCGGATGGTCGCCGACGGCTGTTAGTACCTGCGGCAGGGTCACCACGCGTCAGGCAAGAGGCCCGGAGGTGCACACCACACGGTGGTGGCGGCAGCTCTGAGCTAACACCAGACCCTGGAGTCCGCCCCAGCTCATCTCCACGCGGCGTCGCCAGGCAGAGAACGAACTGCCAGACAAACGTGGCCGGGCAGACAGACAACAAGCAGGCAGACTGACTCCGCTAGCGGACAGGCTTCCACACGGCGAACACCCTGTGGCGCGTGGAAGCCGCCTACATGGCCGCACACGTGCCGCTGCCGCCGCCCGCGCAGCACCGCCGGCGCGCTGTTCCGTCTGCGTCATTGACGCGCCAAGTTTAATATCCCCCTCCCACGCGCCAGCCATTCTCCGCGCGCTCTCCGTTCTCCGACAGGCTCCCTGTCAGCAGGAAATTAGACCTTACATCCGGGTCGGATCAGCACGGGTACAGCGGCCGGCTTCGGCGGCCAGCGGCCGGGGATCAGGCGCCGGCGGCAGTGAAGGCCGACGACGATCCTGCCGACACTTCGCTGAATGGCTCCGCCTTTGATCCGCCCCGCTCGGCGCCTGAGCTCGTTTAATCACGTCCCTCTTTAGAAGAAAGCGCCGTTATTAAATGACTGGCGCACGGCGAACTGAATGGCGAGCGAGCCGGCGCACACTCATATGCAGCGGCGCCGACAGCAGACGCTGGCGGCGCGCGCGCCGGAGGCTCGCTGCCGAGCGGTGCTGACTATTGCCGGCGATAAATAAAGCATCGCCTCCACTCTGCCGACGATCTGCACACGACGTAGAGCCCTTGTCGCCTTCCCAGGCTGCCTGGGAAGGCGAAGGCCTGCCACGCCCACGCAGCGCATCAGTTGGCGTGCAAAGCATCCACCGGTGACAATGTGTCCACGGCGCTAACGTAGCCGCCGTCAGCAACCGTCCGAATGGCACTGCACGCATGCCGTTCATCTAAAGTCTCTCTGTCGCGTGGCTCTTCCGGACTAGCGTCAAGCACATGAAACCCAGACACCAGACAACGCAGTCGGCTCAGTTGGATTCGGCGTTTGGGTGCGACAACGGTCTGGTCTGGCCTTACTACGATCCAGCTCACATAAACATGGACCAGGAAGAACTCACCCTGGTTTACATACACGTGGAACAAGAAGAACTCACTCCAGCTCACGTACACGTGGGCCAGGAAGAACTCACTCTAGCTCACATACACATGGACCAGGAAGAACTCGCGCCAAGCCAGGCCTGCGGCAGAGCACAGAGCACTATAACGCACCGCACTGCAAAGCGCAACTTTGAAACCGCGAGGTCTCACGTCTTCGTAAGCTGAGTAACTCCATACAGTAACACAGGATCACCCTCTCAGAAATAAAACCTGAAAGTGGCCGGATACCATTTTGACTATCAAGAGTAGAGCCCTGCGGGCAACACCATGCGGGCAAGAGGTAGGCCGTTCAAAGCCGTATGATAACAGATCCCATCGTGAGTTCCCAGAAACAAATGGACGTGACACCACCGGGGAGCTTCTGCAAACACATGGGAAGGTCACAGATCGTGAGCCAGGCGTCCAGTCGAGCGAAACCAAGGACCTACACAGGGACCAAATTTAGCTCGAGATCGGCACATCCAAAAGGCCATGGACAGAATATCAATGACACGTCATATTGCAGATTAGCTTTCCGACCAGAGGTGGGACCTGGCTGTCAGCCTTACGTAGCCTGATAGCCATGATCCAATGCCACTTCAAAATGTCGCGAGGAGTTTGACGCAGTTTCTAAGATTGCCAGAAAAAAAACAAATGACCACTGGCAATCCGTGCGGAAACAGTCGGGGATGCAACCTTGGATCAGTTTTACATTTCGACAAGTTATTTTATTGCAGATTATATCGAATACTTCGCATGGTTTGATACGCTAATGGGATCAGAATCGGTGCAACCACGACCCAATGCCTTTGAATCGGCATAACTGCTAAACAAATGTTGTTGTAAAAACCCTTACCCAATTAAAGCTGGTCCACATAGCTTTTTATTCAACACTTTAACCGCACGGAAAGAAACGGCCTATGGCATGCAAGCTAACTCCACGAAACCTCAGTTTTATGGCCGCACGGCCCTCTCTTGGCCGACTGTCACCCGTAGGCCGTCTTCTAAACCCGACAACCGAGCTCCACCGCTGGGACGCACACTGGCGTAAGTCTGCCACGCCGCCGCGAGGCACGAGTCCAGCACTCCTTAAACCCGACAACCGAGCTCCACCGCTGGGACGCACACTGGCGTAAGTCTGCCACGTCGCCGCGAGGCACGAGTCCAGCACTCCTTAAACCCGACAACCGAGCTCCACCGCTGGGACGCACACTGGCGTAAGTCTGCCACGCCGCCGCGAGGCACGAGTCCAGCACTCCTTAAACCCGACAACCGAGCTCCACCGCTGGGACGCACACTGGCGTAAGTCTGCCACGCCGCCGCGAGGCACGAGTCCAGCACTCCTTAAACCCGACAACCGAGCTCCACCGCTGGGACGCACACTGGCGTAAGTCTGCCACGTCGCCGCGAGGCACGAGTCCAGCACTCCTTAAACCCGACAACCGAGCTCCACCGCTGGGACGCACACTGGCGTAAGTCTGCCACGTCGCCGCGAGGCACGAGTCCAGCACTCCTTAAACCCGACAACCGAGCTCCACCGCTGGGACGCACACTGGCGTAAGTCTGCCACGTCGCCGCGAGGCACGAGTCCAGCACTGCCCACACTGTCAGCACTGCTGAGGCAGCGAAGTCGGCGCAGCCTGTTTTCATTCGTCTTGTCTTGTGTTTGCCACCTATGATAATCCCTGACAAAAACGCGCGAAGGCGAGCACTGATGATCCGCTGTTCATGGGTGACCGCCCGTTACCAGCAGCAGTACGTGGGCCTCCCGACCTTACGCCTCCTCTGGTTCCCCGTACGGTGTGCATTAGGCCAGCAGGCCAGTTCGCATGCACCGCTAACAATGCAGACTCGCTGACCCAAACGGGCGTGATCAGACGAGCCTGGGCTGCCGGCCCCGGCCGCTAGACCTGGGCGGTCAGGTGGGATCACTGTCCCGGCCGCTGGACGGGGGCGTTGAGGTGGGATCATTGTCCCGGCCTCTGGACGTGGGCGGGATCACTGTCCCGGCCTCTGGACGTGGGCGGGATCACTGTCCCGGCCGCTGGACGTGGGCGGGATCACTGCCCCGGCCGCTGGACCAGAGCGGTCAGGTGGGATCACTGTCCCGGCCGCTGGACAGGGACGGTAAAGAGGGATCACTGTTCCGGCCGCTGGACCGGGGCAGTGAGGAGGGACCACTGTGCAACACATCGGCGTAGTCACTTGAGTGAGCGAGTGAGTGAGTGAGTGAGTGAGTGAGTGAGTGAGTGAGTGAGTGAGTGAGTGAGTGAGTGAGTGAGTGAGTGAGTGAGTGAGTGAGTGAGTGAGTGAGTGAGTGAGGTAGTGAGTGAGTGAGTGGGCGTGCGCTGCAGACACGCCGTCCGGTATGCCAGCTGCTGTTTTTCGCCAGCGATGACAGTGCAACTTTTCCAGACCTTATGCGGGGTTGTCGCGCGCACTTAGAACTGCGGCACCATGTGTAGAGCTAACACAAGCAATTTTAGCCCAATCACACTCAACTTCGGCACCTTGTCAGGACTGACAGTTAGGCAAGCAATGACGGCACCACAGCAACATCCGGACATTTTCGGCGCAGCTTAAAGCCCATACGGCACTACGGCTCCCGCTTTACAACTCGGTCGCACCAACTGGAAACTGTGCCATCCATTTCGGCAAGTTCCAAGCAATATCAGCAGCTAAACATTGACAAATAGATGAAAGCTGTTTAGAATGTGAAATGCGCGGTCAGCGACTTGATGTGCTGTATTCTATTTGTCGCATTCCATTAATTATGTGAAACCGAACTGCTTTTGTCGGACTAAATAGGAGCAAGGACATAAGGCCTCCTTACAAAGGGATGTACTGTGGCGCGCTGCGGCGGCAGATCTACTGGCGGCAGTCATGCACTACAAGGCCTACAGCACTCCGTGTGTTGGTGTGCTCGCCGCCGCCGCTGCCACGGATAAGCTGAGGACGCAGACCAAAGACCCCTCGGCCGCACTTGGGGCGCCACGGGGGCGCGCACTCTGATTCCGCGCGCGTGGCCAGTGATGTCGGCAGGAAATCAAAAGGAATCACAGCATTGACGTTTTTTTTTTTAGCAAATACTCGCTCATCATTGGCTGCTGCTACGTGGCATCGGCAGTGTTCAGCAGTTTCGTCAGTGTGCCATATCACTGCTCTCGTGAAAGGGATTTAAAGTGCCGACCGCGCTAGAGGTGACGCAAGTGGTCAACTATCCAACAAAGAATCAGACCGTTCGGGAAACATGGCCGCAAAGAAAAAAACTGAAAAATCAAAAGCAGCCCTGCAAGAGCACTGAATGCTGTGGAAAGGCAATCGCGCAGATGAACTGTGCGGGTGGATGGTTATGAAGAAGGCCGTACCTCGGCCAGCGGAGCGCAATGGTCCAGTCGTCCCGCGTAGGAGTTACACAGATTGGAGAATGTAACTGGGTCAGAGAACCAGTTTAATCTTCGAAGACGACACGGTAGTCAATATGTGACTGATGCATGCGAGGGGTCGTGCTAGTTGGAGTCGGGGTCAGAGTCGGAGTCGGTGTCCGAGTCCGAGTCCGAGTCACAACCTGAGTTTGAGTATGAGTCTGACTGAGTCTGATCCGGTGCCGTTGTCGCTTTTTCAATGGTCAGGCTGGAGTTAAGAGAAGAGTCAGAGTCGCTGAAATATCGCCGACTCCGAAACCGAATCTTCGCTCGCGAGATTATGTATACCTGTGCACTTCAGTGACCTGCGGCGGCGCGTCTGCCGCCCCGCCTCAGATATTCATTGCGATTGGCGATCTTCCAGACTCACAGGCCCAGCAAGACCGCGGGCCGCAAGAAGCACACCTTTCAATGTCAGGCGTGTGAAAAAAGACAGAAGAAATCGCATCGAGCTAGCTTGAAGTCTGCCACCTTTGTCTGCATCGCTGCTAAAGCTAGGCCTCTGGCCGAAATAGCCTGCAGCTGCGCCCACTTTCTGCGAGTTTCCCGATGCCGCCAAAGTTGAATGCACCACTGCTGAAAAAGGGCGACACACCAAATACCGCTGTCTTACAACAATTCGTTGCGCGAGTCTGAGCACGAACGCGATAGTTCTCCAATGGATGCGATCTCGCCAATTAAGCGATGGGTAAGGGTGTAGACAAAAGGCTGCGAAGGGAGTCTGTCGCACTCTTCGCCAGGGACTGTGGAGCTCCCAATTATAGAGAAACACCATGGCTAAAAGCTCTGACCCGTCCGTCACGCGGATGTTGGTCAAATGATGAAGATTTGGTGAGTAAACGTGTCGCGGGTGTCTGCACAGCTCAGGCTTCCACACATCGTTGAAATATGAGCGGGTGCTTGTTTTACAGAAGTAAGCATGCGGCACAAGCGATCATCTTTCAAGCGACAGTGATGTGATGCGTGTTTTAGCATATCCGTTTCCGCGCACCAGAAAATATTGTACGTGCGAGAACACCAGGGCGGTAACGATGGTGGGCGGGGGACCAGGGCCGCAGGTGATGGCGGGACGGAGACAGCGTGAGGACATAGACACATCGCAGACAGCCTGGCTGAGTGCGAGCGCGGCTGTGCCGGTGTTGGCAGGCAAGATCCCACCTAGGTGCTACCAATATCAAATTAGCGCCGGATGCCTGCAACGTGTTGCTGGAACACTGCGTTTAGTGCGTGGTTCTGCCACGCTCCGGTTCCGTGTCAGGGCGGGCGGTCTGCCCGGAAAGGCCGCCCGTCCGTCACAGTCCGCGTTGAAGAACTCCCGCTATCTCCGGCGGTCGGCGCCAGTCTGTCACTGCGAAAACTCAGACGGTCTGTGATGGCGACTCGCCAGCCTCAGACGGTCTGTGATGGCGACTCACCAGCCTCAGACGGTCTGTGATGGCGACTCACCAGCCTCAGACGTCAGTCAGCCAACTGCTTCTCCGGACTCGCCGGCGACCGCCGGTGATCCGCGAGCAGGGCGGCCTCAGGCGGCGGCCGTCAGCGCCGCGGCCCTGCTGTCAGCAGCTCCGCGCGCGCCGCCACCGCCGCCGCCTCCTCCCACCAGTCCGCGTCCATCCGCGTCTCCCCCTCCCCCGTCGCCAACTCCCGCTAATTAGCGATTGGCGGAAGCCGGTCGACGTCAGCGCCTTTCATCGCGACGAGCCAGCGGCAGCGCCGGCCGGGCGCAGCGGCGACGAGCGCAGCGGCGGCCGCCGGCGCCGGCCGGGCCATTGTGCGCGCCGGTCGTCATCCGGTGCCCGTCGGCCGTACGGACCAGCCCATATTGGAGCGCCCACGCGCGGCCGAGTGGCTCCGGCCGGCGGCGGGTCGCCGGCTGGGGCAGCAGGTCGGCGTGAGCACCGCGATACGGGTGGAAGAGCCGCCGAACCGCCAGGCGGGATGACACCACTGGCGCCCGTCGTTGGGCAGAGCTCCGCACGACACGGCGGCCCGCGGCGCCGCGCGTCGCACGGAGCCACGGTACAAACGGCTCGCGCCCCGGGTGGCGGTCATACCAGACAGCAGTCCAGCGTTTTTGAAAGGGATCCTGAATTCGTGACATGAGGTCACTGCATGTGCTTGCTGCATGTGTGGGTGCAGTACTGCAATACTGCGCTAAGGGCAAAGTACTGTGCAGCGAGTGCCAACCCGCCGCCACGGGCGAACCACGCAAAGCCTGCACAGGACGGGAAGAGCCTCAGTCTGCCATACAGCGGAGCCAGCGGTCCGGCGCCAGCGGTCCGGCGCCAGCGGTGTCGGTCCGCCTGGCGTCGGGCCTGGCGCCGTGGCCCCGCCAGACGTAAGCTCTCGCCGGAGCGCGCGCTCACGACGCCGGGGTTTCCCCCGACGAACGGCCGCCGGCCGGCCGAGGTCAACGTGGCGGCCGACACCGACCCGCGGCTGAGCGCTGCGACGGGGGCCTCCACGGCCGCGCCGCGCCGCCGTCCAGCCGCGCAACGGAGGCGGACGCGGTGCAGCGTCGCGCTGTAGCGGCCGGCCGTGCACCAGCCGCGCGGCCGCCCCACGCACCTGTAGTAGTTGGGCTTGAATGGACCGGCCTTGTTGAGGCCCATGTACTTGGCCTGCTCCTCGGTCAGCTCGGTCAGGTGGGCGTCGAACGAGGGCAGGTGGAGACTGGCCACGTACTCGTCTGCCGGCCAACGGATCACGCTGTCGTCACGTGCGTCACGGCTCGCCGCACAGTGTCACGGTGAGACGGGTGCGGGGTGGGACGACAGCACTGCTGTCTCGCGATGCAGCAAGGTTTGGTGGCATTGCACTCGAATCATGAATATCACATCAGGGTACGGTAATGCCGTCTTCCGCGTCAGACGAAAGGATAGCCCTTTCCACAGCGAGACGGAGAATAACGTGTCCTTGTTTCGTCCCATCGTGGACCACGCGTCTATTTGCTGCAGCCTGAACGACATGCTGCCTGCGAGCGACCAAGACGTGTCCTTTCCCCCGGCCGGAAGTGACAACATGGTTTCACTTCAGAGGCACTCCTGATACATTTTACCGAGCTCGCACCGAGAGCGTAGCGAGCGCAACACATTTTCAAGCGACGCCTCCGCACCATCAGGCGTTCAAAGACCAGAATACCTCAAACAGAGGTAATATCACGCGTCTATCAGTTTGCCGGCGGGCGGTAACGCCGTAAAACGGTTCCTCCGCGACGAGCGCGCCGACCCCATATCAAGCGAGCCTCGCAAAACGCCCCCGGCATCCTCTATCTCTCGACGCAGCCCACTCAAATGATCTGACAAAGCGGACAACACAGCGGCGGTGGCGGGCCCCCACAGTGATGAGGGATGGCCAGACCACTGCACGGCCCGGCCCGGCCCGGCCCGGCATGGCACAGCACGACACAGCACAGCACGGCCCGGCTCGGCACTGCACGGCACAGCACGGCACGGCACGGCACGGCACGGCACGGCACGGCACGGCACGGCACGGCACGGCACGGCACGGCACGGCACGGCACGGCACGGCACGGCACGGCACGGCACGGCACAGCACGGCACGGCACGGCACGGCTCGCCACGGCGCACCGCGGCACGGCACAGCACGGCACGGCACGGCACGGCACGGCACGGCACGGCACGGCACGGCTCGGCACGGCACGGCACGGCACGGCACGGCACGGCACGGCACGGCACGGCACGGCACGGCACGGCTCGCCACGGCACGGCACAGCACGGCACAGCACGGCACAGCACGGCACGGCACGCCACGGCGCGCCACGGCACGGTACGCCTTGCAGCAGACACAGAGCCGACCGCGCTCGGCAGGACAATCGCGGCGGCGATCTCCCGCCGGCCGATTAAAGCCTCGCTGCTCCGGACGTCGTCTGCGGCTGGAGGCTGTGCCGGTGCGGCAGGCGGGCAGGCGGGGGGCAACACCGGCCGTAGGTGGCACAGGGGCCACACAAGATTGAGGCTGTGCCGGTGCGGCAGGCGGGCAGGAGGGGGGAGAGGGGGGGGGGCAACACCGGCCGTAGGTGGCACATGGGTCACACAAGATTGAGGCTGTGCCGGTGCGGCAGGCGGGCAGGAGGGGGGAGAGGGGGGGGGGGGGGCAACACCGGCCGTAGGTGGCACGGGGGCCACACATGACAGGTTCAGGCGGAATAGAGGGCAACATGAACCAGATTGAAGCGGCACGTGGGTAGGCAAAGCAGGTTTAAGCGGGGAAGACAGTAAGCGAGACATTTCCAAGCGGGACGGCGGTTAGGCGGGACTGCTTAAGACGAGACATATGGTAAACAAGAAAGATTCAGGCCGGACTGAGAGAAGGCGACCAATGTTTACGGAGGCGAGAGGGTAAAGGGGACAGGTTTAACCAAGGCAAAGGCTAGATGAGACAGACATCAGGAAGTCGGCGTGGACAGGGAGTTTCGGGGAAGACAACAACAACAAAAAACGGAAAAGAAAAAAGGCCAAAGACAAAAAGACAAAAAAGGAGATGCCAAATGAAAATATCCAGTGCGGGACATGTTGGAGGACAGGTTAAGGTGGGACAGATGTTAGATGACAGGTTTGGGCGGGATGGATATTATATGACAGGTTTATGCGGGACAGATATTAGATGAAGGTTTAGGCGAGCCAGATGTTAGATGACAGGTTTACGCGGCACAGGACGTAAACAAGCTGAGCGCATGCGGGGACAGACGGTAGACGCGTAAGGTTAAGGTCGGACAGACGGTGGGTGAGCCAGGTTACGTTCGGACAGAGGATAGGTGAGCCAGGTTACGTTCGGACAGACGGTGGGTGAGCCAGGTTACGTTCGGACAGACGGTAGGTGAGCCAGGTTACGTTCGGACAGACGGTAGGTGAGCCAGGTTGAGGCGGAACAAGTGACAGCTGGATCCAGCTGCGAACGGCAGCAGCCAGCCGCCATGAGCATCTGCCAGTCGGCGTGGCCGCCGGGTGACGGGCGACAGACTGCAGTCACTTGCGCCGCCGCGCCCGACGTGTGACCGCCCTGCTCGCTGTCAGTCCCTCCTACACCCCGCAACACAGGCCGCGTGGCCGCCGGGTGACGGGCGACAGACTGCAGTCACTTGCGCCGCCGCGCCCGACGTACGACCGCCCTCCTCGCTGTCAGTCCCTCCTACACCCCGCAACGCAGGCCGCGTGGCCGCCACACGACGCTGCCCGTTCCGCCGTGCGGGACGTACCCATTTTCTTGGGCAGCAGGTAGACGTCCGCCTTGTATCGGCCGGCCGGAGCGTTGAACAGCTCGATCAGCGCCAAAGCCTGCGGCAGAGGCGGCGGGTCAGCTCTGGGCAGGTCGGCACCGCAGCACCCTCAGCTCAGATCAGGCGTGCACGCGGCCGGCTCATAACCTGCACGCCACGGACACGGCCGCACCGAAGCAAGCAGCAACAGCGACCATGTCTGGCAAAAAAACAACAACAAAAACACAAGAGTTTCGGTCACATCAGAACGAGTATTAGCACGGACACGGACAAAGCGGGTCGCACTTTGAGGACACCCTGGTCTCCGCAGAAGCCGGTCTGGATGTCAGCATAGCGCTGAGTTCTCAGCTACCGCTCAGTACCGAGCACGAGATCCAGAACAATAGTATCGTGAAGACAAAACATCCTGTGTTGGGGCGGTGGCGAGCCTGGCGCCGCCCCGCTGCCGCCCACCGGTCACGCGGCCATGTGTGCCGAGACACGCTGCTGGACCTGGCGCTGGACCTGATCCTGGCAGCCGGACGACCAAAACGTCGGCATCAAAAGCCGCCCAGCTCCCGCCGACAGTGACAATGCAAATAGAGCGACTAAAATCACGGACAGACGCGACAGTTCACTGTGGTGCGGAGGTAGGTTTGGTGAAGCGGTCACGCTATAGGGCACCCACTGCGTACGATAAGGACGTTCCCATTCACCACCGAGCCTCGACACTTTCCATCTGAGCGGTGCCAACGCTTTTGACACGGCCGTTGCAGCGTCGGAGCCAGCCGACCAGCCGGAGGCAGCGATTGAAAATAGCCAGCAGCAGGCGGCTCAGGCGGCCGTCACATGGACGTGTGTCCGACCCATCCCACCGCGGCGGACGCGACGGCGATTAATGTCCCGTCCGGGCCAGCGTCGTAATAGAGCCGGTCGGCGGCGGCGGCGGCGCCGGCCCGACCGGGGCAGCGGGGGCGGCGCCGGCGCCGTCAGCAGCCGTGAAATCATCGCCGCCACCTCTGATCGCGTCATCAATTGCCGGCCGGCGGCGCCGCGCAGAACTGTGGCGGCCGGCGGGGTCACGCCGCCGCCGCCGGCCGGGGCAAGCGTGCAGAGGCCGCCGCCCAGGCCGGCCGGGCGTCGGCCGCCGCTCCTCGCCTCGAGGCGTCCGGCGGCGCCGGCCGTTGGCCGCGTGCGGAGGCCGCCGCTCCTCGCCTCGAGGCGTCCGGCCGGCGCCGGCCGTGGCCGCGTGCGGAGGCCGCCGCTCCTCCTGCCCCGACCGCCGTCCAGAGCAGCGCCCACTTGGGCATCGACCAGGAAGTGAGCCGATCGGGGCGTCAATCGAGTTCATGGGTCGAGCATAATTAATCGGTCTAATGACATTAATAGCGAACTTATAGCAGCTGATCACAGGACATGACGTCGCCAAGCTACCTAACAGGCGAAATGCCTGTTGAATGTCTGTATGACATTATCGATGTTGCCTGATGCCTGCTAAACGCTTGCACAACCGTCCGCCCACGACCTCGCTTTGCCAGATGGTACGGAGCGGGAGCGCTCCCGCCGAATGTACAATTCAAACAGCCAGCACTGGCGAGCCACCACATATTTCAGCCCGACACAATCCCTGTCGCAGTCGCGCCCTGCAGAGACGCTCGCCGGCGGCCGGAAATAGACGACTTCCGGCGCCCCGGCTGGGCCGGCTCGCTGCAGGCCGACGAGCCTGAGGCGCGGCAGCGCCCTCCTACCAGATATCCTGCCACCCTGCTGACGCTACTAACAACGACATAATACATCTATGTTGTGACTACACGAGCATCTGTGGCCAACAAAAGAGATAGCGGTCCTCTTGTAAGCACGAGCGCTCGTAAAGCCTTCAGTAAAGTGATTCCTGATGATACATTTAGCAGTAATATTCGCACGATACTTGGAGGTCTACACAGCCACCGTCAGGAAACGCGTCCCCGTGCTAGTAAGGTTTACACAAACTGCCGCACGCTATGCCACTCGCCATAAGACGGAAACAGGCGGGGGTGGGGGGGGGGGGGGGGGAGAGGGGCACATCTGGCCGGCCGATGACCCTGGTGGTGAAGGGTGGGCAGGTATTCCCCGGCTGGGAGGGGACGGCCGCATCGCCGCCACCGCCGCCGCTATCCAGGTACGCAGCTGAAGAGCGGACAGCCGACGACACGAGCGGCACGCTACGGCACAGCGTAAGCTACGTCATTCCTTTTTGCAATGGCCACGAAGTGCAATGCCGCCATTACCGGCGTGCAATGTACAGCACAAATTGACATTGACTAGGACGGCGGAGCATCAATTTCGCTCGTCAGCCCTTAAACACTCTCCTACGTCGCCAGATGGCTGAAAACTGCTCACTGAAGTGAACTGAAGCTTATCGAAGTTTTCCGCCACCAGGCCGGCCCGGTCGCCAGGTGCCGGCCGCCGCGTGCAAGGTCATCTCCCACACCGTCCGGGATCGACACATGACGGAAACAGGCGGGATGCCGGGTTGGGGTGGGGGTGGGGGCACATCTGGTCGACCGATAGCCCTGGTGGCGATGCGTGGGCGGGCGTCACCGGGCGGGCAGCCACGTCAGCCACGTCAGCCACGTCAGCTACGGCAGCTACCACCGCCGCTGCTCAGGCGCGCAGCTGGAGAGGGGGCACCTGGAGACACGAGCCGCGCGCCACGGCCTGGATGGTGACAGACAAACGGCGGCGGGAAGCCCGCCGGCCAGCCACGGGTGCAGCGCGCACGAGAGAGCTCGTTTGGCGCGGGCGGGATGGCCTCCTGGCGCAGAGAGATCACGCAGGAAGCAGGTCTCCCGGTCGATTTGGCGCACAAGGGCAGCGCAGGCGGCACAACCCCTTCCCCAGCCATCCAGCCATTTGCGTCAGCTGCCGAGCGTCGCAGCGCGGTAGGATCGGCGCGCCCGCCAGCTGGACAGAACCGGAAGAGGGCAACACCAGACGTCGCCTTCGCACGGGGCGCGGCGTCGGGCCTCACCTGGGTGGCGGCCGAGATGGAGACGACGAACGAGGGCACGCTGGAGCAGGTGAGGTTGACGAGGCGGCCCTCGGCCAGCAGCACGATCCGCTTGCCGTCCGGCCAGATGATGTGGTCCACCGAGGAGCGCACCTTCTCCCAGGTCAGCTCGGGCGTACGCAGCGAGTTCTGCCGGCGCGCACGCATAGTCAGCAACCACAGGCGCAGAGAGGACCGGTACAAAGGTACACGGCCTGGCAGAGCTGGAGCAGAGGACAGACGGAGAAGAGCACGCGGCCTCAGGGCCGCAGATATCTGGGAATTAACTAAGCAATTGAAGCCCCGGTAGTTCGCACGTGATACCAGCTAGAGAGTACCCATAGCAAAAAGCACGGAAGAGTAGAACTATGTAGGTATGACGACCTAGACTACGTTTAGCTGCCCATTGCATGACTGGGTATTCAAGCCGAACAAAAAAGGCAGAGCTTGAAAACCAACTCGACGCCCGGGCGCCGCTGCTGGTGTGACATGGCTGGCGCCACACAGCGGACGCCTGCCATCCTACTAGTGCGCCGGGCCGCCACCCACCACGTCAATCTCCGTGTTGGAGTGGCCCATGTTACAGAGCAGGGCGCCGTTCTTCATGCGGTCCATGTGGTCGCGGGTGACGACGTTCTTGTTGCCCGTGGCCGAGATCACTATGTCAACGTGACGGATTACTTCACTGAGCTTCACCACGCGAAACCCGTCCATGCTGCGGGCGACATCTAGCCTCAGAGAGAGAAGTCACAGGTTCCATAAACAGCCGCAAATAAACAGAGGCAGTGAATTCATCGCATCAGCGGTAGTCAACAGAATTCCTATAGTAGTGGGAAACTGGGTGGCCATGTGAACAGCTGATTCCACTCAGGTATCCAGTATAATCATACGGTTTTAGGAAGCATGTCTGAAAAATATAATGTATCATGCAACTCCCTGAAATCTCTACATTCCTGAGCGTTTTCCTCCAGCACATTGCCTGTTCCAGAAGCAAAGAAATACGGAAGAAATCACACATGGTGAGGCATTTCGCCCTTTCTGAGACACAACAAGATCCAACTAAAAGCGTGGTTTGAACTGCTATTCGAAGATGCTTTGCATGTAGTTGCGGGCTTGGGGTGCCGGCCGTGAACGCATGCCAAGACAGTTACAACCTTATTGGGGTAGGCACAGGCCACTTGCTAATGTGCTTAACCCATTCAGAACACGAACATTTCAAAATGTCACGTGACCACACATGAACCACACCAGTTGAAGTCATTTTACGACAAACTGGTTCCAGCAGCCAGTCGGTCGGTTCAAACTAGGACTGTTGAAATCGTTACGCTGCTGCCCGGAGGTTTCCGTCTCCCAGATGCTGGGGGCGAAAGAAAAGCACACATACACACCCACCCGCACACACACGTCTGCGGTCTCGTCTCCACGCCCTTCCTCTCCAGGAAGACATCCCTCCTCAGCCGGAGTCGACAGAAAGCGAGAGCGAGCACGAGCCCATTCCGAGTGGACGCTGTCCACGCGCCGGAGAGGAGCGGCCTGTCCACGCCCCGGAGAGGAGCGGTGCGCGGACAGCTGTCCAAGCGCCGGAGAGGAGCGACCTGTCCACGCCCCGGAGAGGAGCGGCGCGTGGACAGCTATCCACCGGCGGCAGCGGCGGCGGCCGGCCCGCCCCGGAGAGGAGCGGCCTGTCCACGCCCCGGAGAGGAGCGGCGCGTGGACAGCTGTCCACCGGCGGCAGCGGCGGCGGCCGGCCCGCCCCACCGCCCACTTGCCAGGCCTGCAGGGCGCAGATGGGATCCACCTCGCAGACGCTGATGACGCAGCCGAGGCCCTTCAGCGACTGGCAGCAGCCCTTGCCGACCTCGCCGTAGCCACAGACCACCACTTGCTTGCCGCCGAACATGATGTCCGTGGAGCGTTTCAGGCTGTGGCACGGCAGAACGGCGGCGTCAGGCGCGGCAGAACGGCGGAGTCAGGCGCGACAGAACGGCGGAGTCGGACGCGACAGAACGGCGGCGTCAGGCGCGGCAGACCGCCGGAGTCAAGCGCGACAGAACGGCGGAGTCATGCGCGACAGAACGGCGGCGTCAGGCGCGACAGAACGGCGGAGTCAGGCGCGACAGAACGGCGGAGTCAGGCGCGGTGGATTGGCGGTTCAGGACGGGCCGGCAGCGGTGACGAGCGGTCCGAGGTACCGTGACATGTCACGACATGGTGACAGCGGTGACGGGCGATCCGAAACACCGTGACATGTCACGACGTGGTGACGGCGTTGACGGGCGAACCGAGATACTGTGACATGGTGTGTCGTGACAAGGACAGAGAAGGCGCTTGGAGAGGCGGAGATATGCCACGATACGTTCGTATTCTGATTTCTGATTGGTATGCAATGTTCAACGTCACATCTTAAAAAAAAAACACCAACGGTATCATTCACTCGTCGTTATGAGCAGCGGCCTGGTGCTTTCCCGCCAGAATTAACATGGTTCAGATCCCAACGTCGTCCAACCAAGCTCCCCGCCAGAATTAACATAGTACAGATCGCGCCGTCGTTCGTCCACGCTCCTCTATTTCTAGAATCGGCAGATAGCCACGGTGATGAGCCAAGCAACATTTATCCTTGAAATGCACAGTACGACACGCAGTTAGGGTACGGAATGAGCCATTAGCAGATGGCAGGCAGCCAGCGGTAGAGCCAACGCTCGCAGTCTCTCCGTCGGCATGGGCCACTTCCTTCGCCTGCCGGGCCGCTGCACCCCATCGGTCGACACCAGGCACACAATACGTGGCACACCTCGGACACGACGCTCGACAAAGGACCTCCAGCCAGCCGGGTCTGCAGAAGGAGCTGGCGGGGGCCCGCGAGTGGGGCGGATAGATCAGCTGACGGCATGGGGCAGCTTATGATCGCTGCGCTGGGAAAAGAGAATGCTTCGCAGGACGCCAAATCTCCTCACATGCTATCTACCGCTCCGCAGGAAAACGTAACGTTCTTGTATAGCAAAATTTGAAACGTCATGTTGCATTGACAACTGGGTTCAACTCCAATTGTCACTGTTCCCATTTACAGCTGTTCTGCAGTGTGCCTCGAACCAGTTCGCTGTTCGCTAAGGCTTCTCATGCAACCCTTACGCACTCTTCAAACCAGCACCACCGAGCATACCAAACCATTCTGAAAGCTTCCCAGACGACGGGCTTTTTAAAGAGAACACGACGCACGTCACCACGCCTCTTATGAAAAGCGATGTTGAGACCCTCTCCTCCTCCCTCCCTTGCTCCGGCGGACCTGTCAATGATGCTCTCGCGGCAGGAGTAGAGGTTGTCGAACTTTGTCTTGGTGACCGAGTCGTTGACGTTCATCGCCGGCACGCACAGCTTCTGCTGCTTGCTCAGCTGATACAGCCGGTGCACGCCCGTCACAGATTCCTCGACAATGCCTGGCGGCACGCCACAGTGCACTGGAGCGGACACGTCACAGATTCCTCGACAATGCCTGGCGGAACGCCACAGTGCACTGGAGCGGACACGTCACAGATCTCCCATTGGTTTGTGAGTACCTGATAAACTCCTTTAGACCAAGATGGGTTCAATACAGAACCATTTGTTAGAGACTACTAGCAGTAGAAACGCCTGAATCTAGTCGAAAAATGACCGGATGTAGCAGGAAAATGCTACAACCATTCCCACTAGCATGGCCAATAACCATACACAGCTAGTACGTGTTGGCGAGACGCAGCGTATGAATATAGGGCCGACAACGTAAACACCATGACAGGGGCGAAGGCGATGATGTGACACCAAACGACGTACCGATTAAACGAGAACGGGATGCAGATATCGCCAATGAGACGACTAGCGAAAATGGAGAGAACAAGGTGCAAATGAAGTTGACGATTGGAGTTTGGCAAGAAAAGGGCAGATATCGATTGAAACGGGTGCAGAAAATCGTAAAAGGGAAAGATAACTAAACTAGGAATCATATGACGAATATTAGAAAGAAACGAAGAAAAGATGAATGCGGACAACGCAATACTGACTGCAACTCTGCCGTACCCTTCCCCCCCCCCTCTCCCCTTCCAGCAGCGGCATGGCCGGCGGCAGTCCACCTCGTACCTCCTCCCCCCGCCAGCACCCGTACAGCCGGCGGCAGCCCACCTCGTATGAGTTTGAACATGGCCGGAAACTTCTTAAGCATGAGGTGCGTGGCGTCGCCTCCGTCGTCCAGAATCATGTTGGGCTGCCAGTTTTCGGCGTTGATGCACTTGTCGATGCACCACCAGAAGTCATCCTCTGTCTCGCCGCGCCACGCGAACACGGAGATGCCTAGCATAGAGCGGGACGCGCTGTCAGGGGAGGCTGAGGCCGACAGGGACAACAGATGGTACCGGAGCCGGCGACTGAGCCTCAGTCGGAGCCGGCGGCCGGGTCCCAGCCGGAGCCGGCGGCCGAGTCCCAGCCGGAGCCGGCGGCCGGGTCCCAGCCGGAGACGGCGGCCAGGTCCCAGCCGGAGCCGGCGGCCGCGTCCCAGCCGGAGCCGACGGCCGAGCCCCAGCCGGAGCCGGCGGCCGAGTCCCAGCGGCGACTCAGCAGAACGCGTGGACCAAACGGCTTCTTCCGTTCTTGCACAGCATTGCAATACTGTGCGTTGAGGTGTCCTTCAACCGCAAGCATCGGTTTTCTGCTGGATAATCCTGACACGCATGCCTTGGTAGTGGGTTGCTATGCATGGGGCTCCTGAACAACTGTTCATCAATGCATCGCAGTTACATCCGCTACGTGTCAAGACATCCGTCTGAGTTGTGCTCTGGCCCATCGCAATGTTTCAGTTTCTGTACAAAACACACAAGCCCTTCCACGCTCCCGCTACACAGCCAGAGTGCCATACATCTACGCTTTTTATATTTTCTCAGGCAACAACATCTCTTAGATCAGGCAACAACTGCTGAAATTGGGGAGCGAGGCAAAATCTTCCCGCCAGCCGGACGCGGCTCGATTGCCCTCGTCCCGCGCCCCATCGACACAATGTCACGGACCAACGCATGGCTGCCTGTCTTCAAAGCCTGTGCGCCGAGCGAGTCGGGCTGGGGGATTAGAGTGGATTGGACTGAGTGCATTCGGGGAGTGCCCCCCCCCCCTTCCATCCCACCTGCCGACCAGCCTTTTACCTCGGGCACCGCCCACCGTCGGCGGCAGGGAGCGATGGGCCACCGGCCTCCTAACGCGCGCAGGTGGGCTGTGCGGCAGGCGGGCGCACGGCACGGCCGCCATCCGCACACAGGCTGTTTACGCTGGCTCCCTTCCACAGTCACGCCCGGAAACAGGGCTTTTTATCGGCACAGGAAGTCCGCGTCCAGCTCCGGCACCGACAAATGAAAGGCAGGACGGCGGGCCAAGCGGGGGCTCGGGGGGAATGTGTCCCCTCCCCCCTTCACTCCATTCCGCTGGGTCTCGATTGGGGGCCCCGAAGGGCTGGCAGAAGGCCGTATTGAGGAAACCGTGCCTGCAGGACTGGGCCCCAAGTGTCAGAGGGCCTCTTGCACCGGTTGGGGTCCTCTGGGACAACGAGGGCCCCATGTCAGTCCGAGAACACTAACAACGAAAAGTGGAACCCGTGTCGGCCTGGGGGCCAAAAGTGTCTAAAAAAGTCCTGCGTCGGCAAGGGGTCCTGGGTCGACCAGAACTCTGAACAGGGACTGAGCCCTGCGTCGGCAAGGGGTCCTGAGTCAATCAGAACTCTGAGCAGGGACTGAGTCCTGGGTCGGCACGGGGTCCTGGGTCGATCAGAACCCTGAACAGGGGCTGGAACGGTCGGTCCGAATGTCGGAGGGCCTATTGTGATTTTCACGCCCCTCTGACAAAGAAAGAAAATGTGAAAGTTGACAGTGAAATCGTCCACAGCAAGACAGTAGAAGAGTCCCAGCAACAGGCACAGGGGCCCCAGTAACGATCAGGGCCTCGTTCAGACAGGGCCTCCAGTAACGAGCGTCAGTAACGTGCCTTCGGGCCTCCAGTGCCGAACGACCCCTCCGCCCAGTCTTGGCCAGAAGCCCGATAGAGCGAACTGGGGCCGTGCTAAAGAAAAAATATAGATTGGACCCCCGCGCCGGACAGACATCATCTTGCGTCCACAAGGGCCCCTGCTCCGATCAAAGAGCCTCCGGATGGATCAGGGACCTCGGACCTGTCTCCGCAGAACGGGGGCCGGTTAGCGGGCTGGAACAAAATGCCCCTTCAGGCTCTGATTGGAACTGGTAATGGGCCCCTATGCTCGGGAAAGACGGATTCTTTTCAGGCTCCAGGCCCCTCCATAACCGCGCGCGTCGGCATGACCTGATCACAAAATCACATCGGAGTCCTTGTGAGTGGAAGTGGACAGAGCCCGCTGACTTTGAGTGGGCTATCTGAGGTCGGGTCTTCATCAAGCTTCATGTCCCCATCCCGTACCAACACTGGCTGCGCCTCTAAGGAAAAGCCACTAACGAAGTCGCCTCAACACTTCATCCCAGCGATAACACCAAACTGTGTGTCTGTCCAAAACCAATGGCAATGTTGACCGGGCCCGCCTGCGGCAGTCGCATCGGAGCGATCGGGGTCACGCACTGCCAAGGACGGCCCCGGCTTGGTCGATTCCGCCCGGCGGCCGGAGCACGTTCCCATCCTGCGCCGCAAGGGTTCGGCGGCCGGCGCGTCAGATCTGGGCCGAGGTGAGGGCGGCAGAGGTCAGGGGTCAGACGCACGCGCCGATGACGTCAGAGGACAGCCGCCCGCGCAGAGGACGTCAGCAGAATGGGATCGCGAGGCGACAGCTTGCGACGCGCGGCGAGATGAAGCTGACCACGTGACCGAACGCAGGCGCGCGTGGCTTGTTCGGAAATCTACTCAGACCACTGAAGTTAGAATTTGACGAGGTCACGTGCAACATCGTAGTCAGTAACCGACGTACTGCACGGGGGCGGGTCTCTGCTCACAGTCGAAGGCCTTGATCAGGTATTGATTTTTCTGTTTGGGAAAAGAACACGCCCGGCACTTTTCGGCTAGGAAAACACGAGTGATGCCGTCTGATACAGGGGTTACAGCTTAGTGCGCCGAACGGACCAAGAGGATGCCTGCTGCGTACAACGACTCCATTTTACGTAAGCGTGCCCGCAAGGTAAGCGTCTGAGAAAATACAGATATAGTACAGACAGATACACCAGCGGTGATGCACGCACTTGGTAATCGGCACGATACCATGAAAATTAACGAACGCAGGACAGCCCGAGTCTAAAAAGCAAGAACCAAACACGCGTGATCATCTTTAATACGCAACCCTTGATCACAATGCAGGGCGAAATCCGCCGCAAAACTCACCCCCTCACCCCTCTCACTCAAATACTCACCCTTCTCTGCCAGAGCCGCCGTGACTTCGTTTTGCGTGGAGTAGATGTTGCAGGCCGCCCATCGCACGCTGGCTCCCAGAGAGATGAGCGTCTCCACCAGAACCTGCGCGGAGAACAGATGTCGCCGTCAGCAGCCGCCGCGCGTCCAGCCCGGCAGCCGTCTCCACCCGAGCCCGATCCAGAACGTCCAGCCCGGCAGCCGTCTCCACCAGAGCCCGATCCAGAGCGTCCAGCCCGGCAGCCGTCTCCACCCGAGCCCCATCCAGAACGTCCAGCCCGGAAGCCGTCTCCACCAGAGCCCGATCCAGAGCGTCCAGCCCGGCAGCCATCTCCACCCGAGCCCCATCCAGAACGAGGGCGGCGCGTCCAGCCCGGCAGCCGTCTCCACCAGAGCCCCATCCAGAACGAGGGCGGCGCGTCCAGCCCGGCAGCCGTCTCCATCAGAGCCCGATCCAGATCGAGGGCGGCGCGTCCAGTCCGGCAGCCCGATCCAGATCGTCCAGCCCCGCACCCGTCTCCATCAGAGCCCGATCCAGAGCGTCCAGCCCGGTAGCCGTCTCCACCAGAGCCCCATCCAGGGCGTCCAGCCCGGTAACCGTCTCCACCAGAGCCCGATCCAGAGCGTCCAGCCCGGTAGCCGTCTCCACCCGAGCCCCATCCAGAGCGTCCAGCCCCGCACCCATCTCCATCAGAGCCCGATCCAGAGCGTCCAGCCCGGCAGCCGTCTCCACCAGAGCCCGGTCCAGATCGAGGGCGGCGCGGACAAGTACACAAGTCTGACCGCGCACGGCGACGATGCACCAGAAAATGACCGCCACGGCCAACACTTCGGCCTTAGAATACACTTGGGTCTTGTATTGCTATTTTTACACAAAGCTATGGCATAATGCATTCAAATATTTGGCAAAGTAGTACAACTAACAATATTGCAACAAATGAGGACAAAAAAAGAGCAAACGCCCCAATGGACGCCTATAGAGGCTCCGCCACAGCGTGCATCACACAGCATCAGGGCACGGTTAGACGGGGACGCGTTGGCCGGAGAAAAGGTGCTGAGGGCGGCTCGGTCAGAAGGCGCGCCAACGATAATACACTGTGTCCTACAGCGGCGGCGGCGGCGGCGGCGCGGCGGGCCGGCGCCGCCGCGCTCTGGTCTCCCACGGTCTGGTTCGTCCAGGCCTGCTCCAGGTCTGCTCAGGTCTGCTCAGGTCTGCTCGGATCTGCTCGGATCTGCTCGGGTCTCCGGTCCCGCTGGGGCACCAGCATGCCGTCACGACTTGTTTCTTGTGTGCCGTTGTTTCCTTGTCTCCCATACGGTTGGTCTCCTAGGTTTCTTGGTTCCCCACATCTCGCAGAGCTGTTGTCTCCGGCGCTCCAGGGATGGTCAAGCCCCTCAGAAGCCGACAGGAAGGAAAGGGGGATGGAGGTGGGGCACATGACACGTATTCCGCTATTTCAGCTCAATTCTCGAACACGTCCGGCCTTCCCGTCACTATGCCATGTCATTAAAGCGCGCTGATGAGATGCGGCCTTACCCCATTACCGGGCACACAAGGCCAGCTATGGGCGGACTTACACACCACTATTCGAGAATCTGGCCAATCAGGACACGCATAGCGACAGGGGGAACGAAGGGGGGGGGGGGAGTGGACCGACCGACAACTCGACGCCGCTTCCTGCACACCGAATCGACGTCCGGGGGAAACGTCCCGCGCGTTTATTACAGTCACTGCCCATCAGGGCCAAGACAAAGGCGCAGTCGACTTCCATGCATCAGCCCATGAGAGAGAATTTAATTCAACTGCAGTCGGAAGGCCGGACAGCCAATCAGTGCTAACGGAGGAGCGCCGGCCAGCATCAGTGCGGGTCACCAGCGCGGTCTGCCGCCACCGGCCGACGCCAACGGAGGAGCGCCGGCCAGCATCAGTCCGGGTTACCAACCCGGTCTGCCGCCACCGGCCGACGCCAACGGAGGAGCGCCGGCCAGCATCAGTCCGGGTTACCAACCCGGTCTGCCGCCACCGGCCGACGCCAACGGAGGAGCACCGGCCAGCATCAGTGCGGGTTACCAGCCCAGTCTGCCGCCACCGGCCGACGCCAACAGAGGAGCGCCGGCCAGAATCAGCCCGGGTCACCAGCCCGGTCTGCCGCCACCGGCCGACACCAACGGAGGGGCGCCGGCCAGCATCAGTGCGGGTCACCAACCCGGTCTGCCGCCACCGGCAGACACCAACGGAGGAGCGCCGGCCAGAATCAGCCCGGGTCACCAGCCCGGTCTGCCGCCACCGGCCGACACCAACGGAGGGGCGCCGGCCAGCATCAGTCCGGGTCACCAGACCTCTACATGAGCTCGTTTGTCAAATTTACGAACATACACTACCGCCACCTTCCAGTGTATGGAAGTACTACAATTGAGTCACGTCGTCCGCTACAGCGGCGACTCTGATGCGGCAACTGGCAGCGACTCTGCCCTCATAAAAACGATGACGTAACCAGATCGATCTTTACAAATTAGTGATATCGTGTTGTTTAAAGCAGTCTTTTGCCCTTGAGAGCACTCAAACAATCATAAATGAGCGTTTTCTATCATATCTGCTTCTTGCCATGATATCTTGTAATGTGGAACAGTCCCTTTAATTCACAGGCCTCGGACTGAATCTACACAGTAAATGTATATCATTAATATTCATTAATCATAATTATCATTCACGTGACTAAAAACAGCTCTGCAAGATTTCAGCTTACCACACCCGTTTTGTCGTGGCCTGCGGATGCCGACTCGGGCATGAGCCGGAGGCCAGCCGGCGCCTGCTCGCCATGAACCGGAGGGCGGCCGGCGCCTGCTCGCCGAGGCCGGCCGGCGCCTGCTGCCGAGCGCCGGCCTCGGCCCCTGGTGCGGGGCCCGCAGGCCAGCTGGGCGGCAGGGCCGAGCGCCGGTGACCAGCACGCGCTGTTGGCGCCCGGCCGACCAGGTGGGCTCGCTAACACGGCCGCCGCCGGTAGGCCGGCAGCTACCCGGTCGCGGCCCGGGCAGCATGCCCCGTTCCCGTCCCCACCCGCCACGGCGAGCCCCGTCCCAGCCTCACCCGCCACGACGGACCCCGCCCCAGTCTACACCCGCCACGGCAGACCTCCTCCCCGTCCCCAAGCGCCACGGCAAGCGTGAGCTCGGCTAGTAGCGCCACTGACCGCCGTCTGGGCGTTGATGTGAGTGCAGCCGACCACCTTAGCGCCCCGGAGCGGCTTGTCGTCGGCCGCCCGCCTTCTCAGCGCCATGATCCCCGGCATCTCTGTCAGACACGGCACACGTCAGGACTGCGCACGCCACGTGCTCTCCCCACGCGCAACACCTTGGTCTACGGGGTCGCTGCGTCCTGAAGGAGGCAGCCGCTGGGTAAAAATGACGGTCTAAATGCGCTTGCATTTCGCCCAGAAGTATCACAGAGGAGAGAGAGAGAGAGAGAGAGAGAGGAGAGAGAGAGAGAGAGAGAGAGAGAGAGAGAGAAGAGAGAGAGAGAGAGAGAGAGAGAGAGAGAGAGAGAGAGAGAGAGAGAGAGAGAGAGAGAGAGAGAGAGAGAGAGAGAGACAGAGACAGAGACAGAGGACAGAAGAGACAGAGACAGAGACAGAGACGAGACGAGACAGAGACAGAGACAGAGGAGAGACAGAGAGAGACAGAGACAGAGACAGAGACAGAGACAGAGACAGAGACAGAGACAGAGACAGAGACAGAGGACAGAGACAGAGACAGAGACAGAGGACAGAGACAGAGACAGAGACAGAGACAGGACAAGACAGAGGACAGAGACAGAGACAGAGACAGAGACAGAGACAGAGACAGAGAGACAGAGACAGAGACAGAGACAGAGACAGACAGAGACGAGAGAGACAGAGACAGAGACGAGACAGAGACAGGACAGACAGAGACAGAGACAGAGACAGAGAGACAGAGACAGAGACAGAGACAGAGACAGAGACAGAGACAGAGACAGAGACAGAGACAGAGACCAGAGACAGAGACAGAGACAGAGACGAGACAGAGACAGAGACAGAGACAGAGACAGAGCAGAGACAGAGACAGAGACAGAGACAGAGACAGAGACAGAGACAGAGACAGAGCAGACAGAGACAGAGACAGAGACAGAGACAGAGACAGAGACAGAGACAGAGACAGAGACAGAGACAGAGACAGAGACAGAGACAGAGACAGAGACAGAGACAGAGACAGAGACAGAGGACAGAGACAGAGACAGAGAGACAGAGACAGAGACAGAGACAGAAGAGACAGAGACAGAGACAGAGACAGAGACAGAGACAGAGAGGGTGGAGACAGAGAGGGTGGAGACAGAGAGGGTGGAGACAGAGAGGTGGAGACAGAGAGGGTAGAGACAGAGAGGGTGGAGACAGAGAGGGTGGACACAGAGAGGGTGCGAGACAGAGAGGGTGCGAGATAGAGGGGGTGCGAGACAGAGAGGGTGCGAGACAGAGAGGGTGAGAGACAGGGAGGGTGAGAGACAGGGAGGGTGAGAGACAGAGGGTGAGAGACAGGGAGGGTGAGAGACAGAGGGTGAGAGACAGAGAGGGTGAGAGACATAGAGGGTGAGAGACAGAGAGGGTGAGAGAGAGAGAGAGTGAGAGAGAGAAGCATCGGCGAGATCCAAACGAATGATCAATAGCCGTCATCTGGGATTAACTCGCTACGCGGCTCTGTCGAACAATTTCACACTAGGGTCTAATCTTTATTCTCGGAGATTTTATGCTTGGAGCTGCTTCATTCGTTTACCACGACCCCGTACCCCGCTCAACGTTCGGAAGCCCGGCCCCACCAAAGCAGTCACCGCCGCCCGACACGGTCCGCCTCTGGCCCGAGGTCGCCAACGCGGCGCCGGCGGCGTCGGCTCACCTTGCTCGGCGATCTCGATCTCGCGCCGGCCGAACGCCGCCTGCTGGATGTTCCTGATGCAGAAGTCGCTGAAGCCGTCAGCGGCCGCCTGGGTCTTTTCGCGGGGAGAGACGTCATCCTCGTCCGAGCTGCTGCCCGTGTAGGAGGCTGCGACACACCAGGGACGGGTCACGCGCCTGGCCACCCCACGACAGCGGCGCCGGACGGCGACGGGGCCGACGACAGCGGCGACGACAGCCGACAACTGACACTGACATCGGTATCGACAGTGATCTCGACGAGACCGACGGCGGTGCGGATGTTAACAATCAGCTACTGACACTTACATCGACAGTGACAGCAATGATGGCGACATGCACACCAACAACCGACATCCCACATCGACATATACGTCGCCATCTACCGCGAATCAAGACCATCGACCACGTCATCTGACACGAGCGCCGCGGCGCCGGTGGACCATCAGACCGAGTCAGAAAGAGAAAGCCGAAGGAGATGCACGAGAGGAAAACACAATAGACATTGCACGGGAACGAGCAGGTCAAGCATTCGTTAGGCGGATGGGCAGAACGGTGACGAGCCGTCGGAACAAGTACCGTGGCGACCCTGCAATCACTCGTGTCCGATCAGTCAGCGGAGTGGCGGACGAACACGAACACCACGAACACAGAGAAGCGCGAGTAACGCGTCGCGCGCGCAGGACAGCAGAGCGACGTCGCTGAGGTAGCGGGGCCCCACGACAGACAACAGCCGACCAAAGCGCCGAGGTGGCGGGGACCCACGACAAACAACAGCCGACATAAGCGCCAAGGTGGCGGGGACCCACGACAAACAACAGCCGACCAAAGCGCCGAGGTGGCGGGGACCCACGACAAACAACAGCCGACCAAAGCGCCGAGGTGGCGGGGACCCACGACAAACAACAGCCGACCAAAGCGCCGAGGTGGCGGGGACCCACGACAAACAACAGCAGACCAAAGTGCCGAGGTGGCGGGGACCCACGACTAACAGCCGACATAAGCGCCGAGGTGGCGGGGACCCACGACAAACAACAGCCGACCAAAGCGCCGAGGTGGCGGGGACCCACGACAAACAACAGCCGACATAAGCGCCGAGCGCTATTTACGAGCCGTTGCGAAGGACGCCATTAACTCAGCGATGATCTGGCTACAAGCGCAGGCCAAAAACACAGCACCCGCCGGTCCAAAAACAAGCTGTGAGCGTGCGCCGCTGAGCCACAGCAGCCAGCGGGCTGGCGCAGCGCGCCAGATTAATTAGTATGGCACAGGCCGCGGCAACTATTAACATTGGGTTACGCAGATATCGGTCGGTGGTGACGGCGGCCACTGGCCGACAGGGCTCCTGACAGGAGCTTCTCACACGCCAGGGTGTGTTGGTCTCAACCCTTACCTTCAGACGGCTTTGGTCGGCACGGACCAGTGTCAGCCTGCATCTGAACCATCATGTTCGTCGACCCCGGCCGCCCCAAGCGGGATCCCTCCTGTATCGTGCTATGGCGACAGCGCCGCACAAGCCACACGCTTGTCGCTGCGCAACTTCGGCGTCCGTCCAGGCTTAGCCGTAACGTCCGTATCGTGTCAACTCCGTGCTGCCGTATATTGCCCAGCGTAGCCTCCAACGACCAATGCGTTCTTACCATTCTCAACTCCGTGCTGCTGCATACTGCCCAGCATAGCCTCCAACGACCAACGCGTTCTTACCATTCTCAACTTCGTGCTGCCGTTTACTGCCCAGCACAGCCTCCAACGACCACCGCGTTCTTACCGTTCTCCTTCAGAAAGGTCTCTGGACGCTCCGCATGGGCGGCGTAGGACTTATAGTGCGTGATGCGTAGAGAACAAGGTAAAGTCCACAATCTAAGAAACATTCTCTCAGTTCAACGGATTACTTGTTCTGCCGTCTTTGTGCCTCACAAGGGTCAGGTTGGCCGGGTCGTTTTTTATCACGTCTCGCCAGGCGCCGGCCGCTCCGACCGCCCTGTCCCGTGCCAGGCTGACACTTCCAGTCACCAGCCGGCAGCTGTCGGCAGCTGACACCAGTTGGCAGCCGACACCAGTCGGCAGCCGACCACCGCGGCTGGGGTCGGGCACAGAAGCTGACCACCTCCGGGACTCGAGCCAAGGCTCTCCGGAGCGCAGTCCCATCGGTCTGCAGCCGGCACGAGCCCCGCGCCCACGCATGCCGTGCCGGAGCGCCGCGCACCCGCAGCCAGCCATCACGCAGCGGGTGGTCAGCACAGCTCCACCACATCAGAATCACCGGCGCCTACGCCGAAAATTCGCCGGAACCCGCTCTACAAAAATATTTTGAACGTCCGATACTCTTCACAGGCTTATTCCAGACGCACGCAACCCATTGCCGAACGGTTCTGCGGCTTCCACTGCTGGAAGCAGGCTTTTTATCACCTTACTTCTAGAATCCCGGAACAGCCCTTTCTAGGTTCATTGGCGACAAATTCTTACTTTAGCATGCGACCATCAAGTTGTCAGCGCTCGCCTTCAGTCATGTCGTTGCCAGCTGACTACAGATCATTTCGAGACATCCCAATGCCAAGAAAGTAAATGGCTGTGACTCTCACTGCTGACAGTCTCAGATTCTCTCTTAAAGCATTCCGCGCCGCGCCGCCGTTATTTTCGCGGACGGTCCACTCAGCGAGCCCCAGAGAGTGATCGGCCGGCTCAGAAGAAGCGACCTACGGCAGCGCGGCGCCGATCACGTCTCTGGTAGCCGGCTGCTGCATCAGCAGAGTGGGCGGCGGCGGCACCCGACGACCGCGCCAGCCTGCTCACCGGCACATCAGACCGGCAGTCGGGCGGAGGCGGGCCGTGCCCCCTCCCTCCCCCAGCACTGACCGGCAGTCGGGTGGAGGCGGGCCGTGCCCCCCGGCTCTGACCGGCAGTCGGGCGGAGGCGGGCCGTGCCCCCTCCCTCCCCCAGTTCTGACTGTCAGTCGGGTGGAGGCGGGCCGTGCCCCCCGGCTCTGACCGGCAGTCGGGCGGAGGCGGGCCGTGCCCCCTCCCTCCCCCAGTTCTGACTGTCAGTCGGGTGGAGACGGGCCGTGCCCCCTGGCTCTGACCGGCAGTCGGGCGGAGGCGGGCCGTGCCCCCTCCCTCCCCCAGTTCTGACCGTCAGTCGGGCGGAGGCCGCCCGTGCCCCCCGGCTCTGACCGGCAGTTGGGTGGAGGCGGGCCGTGCACCCCGGCTCTGACCGGCAGTTGGGTGGAGGCCGCCCGTGCACCCCGGCTCTGACCGGCAGTTGGGTGGAGGCGGGCCGTGCACCCCGGCTCTGACCGGCAGTCGGGTGGAGGCGGGCCGTGCACCCCGGCTCTGACCGTCAGTCGGGCGGAGGCGCGCCGTGCACCCCGGCTCTGACCGTCAGTCGGGTGGAGGCGGGCCGTGCACCCCGGCTCTGACCGTCAGTCGGGCGGAGGCGCGCCGTGCACCCCGGCTCTGACCGTCAGTCGGGTGGAGGCGGGCCGTGCACCCCGGCTCTGACCGGCAGTCGGGCGGAGGCGCGCCGTGCACCCCGGCTCTGACCGGCAGTCGGGCGGAGGCGCGCCGTGCACCCCGGCTCTGACCGTCAGTCGGGTGGAGGCGGGCCGTGCACCCCGGCTCTGAACCGGCAGTCGGGCGGAGGCGCGCCGTGCACCCCGGCTCTGACCGGCAGTTGGGTGGAGGCCGCCCGTGCACCCCAGCACTGACCGGCAGTTGGGTGGAGGCGGGCCGTGCACCCCGGCTCTGACCGTCAGTCGGGCGGAGGCGGGCCGTGCACCCCGGCTCTGACCGTCAGTCGGGCGGAGGCGGGCCGTGCACCCCGGCTCTGACCGTCAGTCGGGCGGAGGCGGGCCGTGCACCCCGGCTCTGACCGTCAGTCGGGCGGAGGCGCGCCGTGCACCCCGGCTCTGACCGGCAGTCGGCCGTCGGCGGGGCAGCCCCATCCCCGCGGAATACGGCGTCGCCCGTGCTTCGGCTATTCGCGGCACGTGATCATGGCATTACGTGTGGCCCGGTCGCGGCGGAGGCTGCAGGTCAATCAGACCCCAGGCGTGCCCGCCCAGCCAGAGACGCATACCAAGAGCCGGCAGCGGGAGCGGCAGCCCGCGGGCGACGTCAGTCTCACGGGACACGTGCTACCTGACGGCACACACGCCCGCGACGAGCAGGGAGTAACCAGACGTCATGCGCTCCATCAGGCTTGGCCTAACAGCGTGGCGCCGGGCGTCGAACGCGGTCAACAAGCTTTAGTAAATTAAAGTAACGCAGGGCAGGACATTCGCCTAATGTACCTATGATTCCATTCGTGCACAGCATACTTGCAGTCAACTCGACTTTTTTCTTAGCTCTTTTCTTAGCTCTTTTATCAACTCTTGGGTTTCACTGGCAGCAAACAACCTTTAACTTATTTTGGCATAGAATATCATAATTTAGGATGTCTGTACCATATGCTATATCCTCTGGTGACATATCCTCTGGTTACTGGCTGAGATTTGGCAAACTTTAGTTCACGATCAACAATATCGTGTTTGCTGCTTTAACTTCAATATCAAACGTTGTGTTTATTTTGCAAAAGGCTTCATAACTATTGCTGCATGCTGTTCATGTTAGTAATCTCAAATGATACCATCTGTTTAGGCATGTTATATTCACTCATATGACCATTTTCATTTGAGTCGTATGACTCACTGACACAACACTGTAAGCAATGATCAGTTCACGATTCAGCTCATGCAATCTACCAAGAATGTGGTTCAGCTCATGACTCAAAGCGGCATTTCTCCTGGTGAGTCGACTCGGCTCACGACTCATCCCGAACGCACGAGCCGATCCATGAATCGGCCCACGACTCATCCCGAACGCACGAGCCGACCCATGAATCAGCTCACGACTCATCCCGAACGCACGAGCCGATCCATGAATCGGCCCACGACTCATCCCGAACGCACGAGCCGACCCATGAATCAACTCACGACTCATCCCGAACGCACGAGCCGATCCATGAATCAGCTCACGACTCATCCCGAACGCACGAGCCGACCCATGAATCAGCTCACGACTCATCCCGAACGCACGAGCCGATCCATGAATCAGCTCACGACTCATCCCGAACGCACGAGCCGACCCATGAATC